TTTAAGTCACTAGCGCCCTTGATTTGAAATCAGAGTTGCGACCTATCACAATCACCATCATCAAACAGCTGATGGTAGTAACGCTTTGTACATTCCTATCAATGTGCTCGTCGAAGCTCTCTCCATGACCATCCATCAAGTTGACGAAAGAAGAAAAAAGCAACTGGTGAATGTCGTCTTCTGTTGTGATCCATCACCGATCTGGTCATTCCTGACAATCACGACACTCATCTGTGCTCGTTTTCAAGCAGTTTCTGCTCTGCTTGCATATGTGAGTGTGTTGGTGAATGAGCCCAACAGCTTCCGTTTAATGTTGCCTGCTTTGTTTGTAACTCACACACCCGCACCTGCCGAGACGAACTTGGAATGCGTAGGCATTGTTTTCATTTTCTTCTGTCGTTTCGCTTTATCTAATGATCGTCTTGCAGAAGTCTTCACTGTTTTTGTTGTGCTTTTCATTATCAGCAGCGAGTGTAACGTTTTGCTTATGAGCAGCGACCATTACTGGTGATTGTTGTTTGCCATGGCTCTAAATCTGACTGCTTGACAAAACGATCTGTCAACGATAGTCGGTTGATGCGAAGACGAGTGTCACGTGAGTGTCATGATATTTTGCCTCACTGTTTGAAATGGCTTACGCCTCTCATAAACATGTTTGGGAAACAATTAATCAAAAATGGGTTGGTTGGAAATGCTATCTAACATGAAACTTTAATGTGATAATTTATTAGCTAAAAAAATTTCTGAGGAGGGTAGGTTGATAGTTCCGCTAGAGTACGGCAGTATGAAAATTGAATAGATGTTGAAAACAGTGAAGGGCAACTGAACCAACCGTTGCGCACCGTGTGCTGGTTCGTTTGTGTTTATGTAAGCGTGTACCCTGGTTCGGTTGAGTTTTCGTGTACCAGTGTGTCACAGAACAGAAGGGGAAGTGCAAACAAATCGGTGAATCAAAAAGTGATTCGTTGTTCTGCTCACCAAGCGATGTGTTGTGGTGGCGTTCCACACGGGCTTTCTATGTGCATTCACACTATCAAAGCATGCTGTCTATCTTAACTGCAGGCAGAAGATGCCTTCTACCGCTAGGTGCGCTAGTGTTCGCAAATGACAAGTGGAGCCACTTTCTGATCCGAAGTTCCACTCCTGTGAGTGTGTCTAAATCAAAACCGACTGCCGGTTTTCGAGTTGATGTTCCGAACCGCAGCATGAAAACCGAAAACCGGTGTGCTAGAATTTTAGTTTTAGTTCACGAGATCTGAACCGTGTACATGGTTCAATTATATGTAACCAAAACCGGGTATACCGTTCTTGGTTCAGAACATAGGCAAGAATTAAAAAGCAATGCTCCCAAAAAGGTGAGGAAAATATTTGTACCAAGCGACAGTTGTTAATTCAATTGTCAAATATTTTGAAAAACACTATTGGTAGCGAAGGAACTGGAAATCATTTTGAAGTCTGACAAATACCCTTCAATATGGGTATTTTTGGAATCGGGATGACGTATAATGACCGGAAATCAATGTCTGACGCCATCTTGATATCCAATATGTCGGCTTCTGGTTGTACGAAAACTGGGGAATACTAGCAAATACCCTTCAATATGGGTATTTTCTGAATCGGGATGAAATTCAATATGGCGGCTTCCGGTCATAGAAAAACTGGATTATACTGTCAAATATCCTTGAATATGAGTATTTTTAGAATCGGGATGACGTATAAAGACAGGAAATCAATGTCTGACGCCATTCTGAAATCCAAGATGGCGGCATCCGGTTGTAGGAAAACTGGGAAATACTAACAAATATCCTTCAAAATGGGTTATATTGAAGGATATTTGGCATTATTTTCCAGTTTTTCTATTACCGGAAGCCACCATCTTGGATTCCAAAATAGCGTCAGACATTGATTTCCGGTATATATACATCATCCTGAATCCAAAAATACCCATATTGACATTATTTCCCAGGTTTTCTGCAACCGGAAGCCGCCATATTGGATTTCAAGATGGCGTCTGACATTGATATCCGTTCTATATACGTCATCCCGATTCCGAAAATACCCATATTGAAGGGTATTTGCTAGTATTTTCCAGTTTTCCTACAACCGGAAGCCACCATCTTTGGTTTCAAGATGGCGTCAGACATTGATTTTTTTTTTGCTAAAACCGGAAGCCACCATCTTGGATTTCAAGATGGCGTTGGTCGACGATTTCCGGTATATATACGTCATCCTGAATCTAAAAATACCCATATTGACATTATTTCCTAGTTTTTCTGCAACCGGAAGCCGCCATATTGGATCTCAGGATGGCGTCTGACATTGATATCCGTTCTATATACGTCATCCCGATTCCGAAAATACCCATATTGAAGGGTATTTGCTAGTATTTCCCAGTTTTCCTACAACCGGAAGCCGCCATCTTGGATTTCAAGATGGCGTTGATCGACGATTTCCGGTATCCACGTCACCCTGATTCTCGCATATAAACACACAACAGTACCGGATCGGTTCTTGTATTCAAAACATCATCCTTGTGAACACGAACACCGGTACTGGAAAATCAGAACCGCACCGTCTGGAGTGAACTGGTGAACACGGTGCGGTGTTGCTTGCAACTACCAAGCCGAACCGAAAGCAGCACCAAACACTCGGTACAACAGATCAGCACATTGGTTATGATTTAGAAATCCGTACCGGTGCTGTACCGGTGTTTTGTCCATCAATGAGTATTGGAGACATTCTCAAGTCGCAAGGTGCTGGACTTTCGTGTCTGCTATTAAACATCGCGTTAGAAGATGTGAAAAGAAGAACTCGGATAGACACGAGTGGTACGATCTTCAGGAGTCCATCCAGCTTCTTGGCTTCACCGATGACATCCACATCATGACACGGAACTTTGAGACTGTTGGATTACCTGAGACTAGGTGGCTAAACTTCGGTGGTGGACACTCTGACCGTCGGCTTTGGATTTGAGTGGTAGGTTGGTGGGATATGGGCCTTCTTCTTGGCACACACAAAAAAACACATAAGCTCCTTGGGACTCACACAATCGCACTACAACACTACATTTATTGATATTAACAAACTATATTTATTGTTGGCCTCGCAGGACCATCTTGGACCTTGTGCCACTTATTACTAAAATACAAATTCGTATCTAAACCTAATTATCCCAATCCCACTATACGATCGTGGACGTGGTGAATTTCACCAACGAACGGTTCGTAGACCAAATCTCTCGCTCTCAAACAAAATTTATCTCCCGTGAGACTCATCCATATAGAAAGCGAAAGTGATCTGTTGTTGATTGTCGATGACTGGAACAAAGCCACGGTCGAACAATCTACCTTCCTACTTCTACATCATACGGCTGAACAGCTGGCTAATTTGATGATCGCAGTGCTAGGGTAGTCCTCACAGACATCCTCACGCACCCAGAAATATCCGTTTCTGAAATAATAATAAAAGAATCCTCTTCGATTGGGATGGGATAGGGGAAAAGTTTTCCAAATTATTATTCGCTATCGTGGATCGAGTCTGCAACAGGTAATACACAAATCTTTTCGACTGGCCGCTTCATTGCTCCTGATCCAGTTTTGAGTGTAACTACCAGGATGCACCTTGACGATCCGGCCCATCCGCCAGCGCATCGGTGGTTGATTACTGTCCTGAATGATTACCAGCCTTCCGACTTCAATTGCAACAGGTGGATTCTAACGCTTGGATCTGCCTTGCAACTGGCAAAGGCAGTCCATCCATCCCAGAAATGTTGCAACTGTTGCTGAACTAACTGCCAATGTCTTAGACGATTTGTCGGTACCGTTCGAAGATCTTCTTCTGGAAACGATTGTAGGGATGTTCCAACCAAGAAATGAGCTGGAGTTAACGGATCCAGATCATTTGGATCATCGGACATCGGAGTCAGAGGCATAGAATTTAAGCAACCCTCTACTTGAACCAGCAGCGTGTTTATGTCTTCCAGTGTGACTGGGCTATAACCAATGACTCGTAGGAGATGGTGTTTAGCCGATCGTACTGCTGCTTCCCACAGTCCTCCAAAGTGGGGTGCGCTGGGAGGGTTGAAGTGCCATTCAATCCCTTCATCAGCGCAGAACCTAGACACCTGATCTCGATGTTGTCTCTCCTTCCACAATACGAACAGTTCCTGCAGCTGGTTTCGGGCTCCAACGAAATTCGTGCCGTTGTCCGAATACAAATCGGTACACTTTCCTCTACGTGCGATTAAACGTCGGAGTGCTTGCAGAAACCTATCAGTGGACAAGTCAGACACCAGTTCGATGTACACGGCCTTTGTACACATACATACAAAAATGGCTACGTATGCCTTGACAGCAACTCGACGTGGTCCTGGCCGAATATACACCGGCCCAAAGTAATCAACACCAGTTTTTGAGAAAGGGCGAGAAACTGTGACTCTCGATGCAGGTAACTCTCCCATGAATTGCTGCATCAGCTTTGGTTTCAACCTGAAGCACTTTAGGCATTGATGAACTACCTGTCTGGCAACATTTCTTCCTCCTAATGGCCAGAAGCGTTGACGGATCGACCCCAACAAAAGTTGCGGACCAGCGTGAAGCAAACGAAGGTGATATTGCTCAAAGAGCATCTTGGTACAGCGATGACGTGCTGGCAATATCATAGGGTGCTTGGTGGCGTCAGACTCTCTTGAATTCTTCAAACACCCACCAATCCTCAAAATGCCTTCTTCGCAAATAAACGGGCTATACCAGCGCAAGGGTGACCCTCTGGAAACATGTTCATTCCTCCTGACAGCTTTCAGCTCTTCTGGAAACGCTTCTTCCTGGACCTTCCGAATGAGAACGAACTCCGCCTTGCGTAGCTCTTCTGAAGACAGGAATCCAGTCGATCGATTTTCCCTTGAGTTTCGAAGTGACCGCATCAATCGCAACCATATGGTGATGCGCCGAATCAGTACCATGTAGGAAGCTGACTTGGAAATGAACCATTCGTTGAACTCTTCAACCGCTGAAGCTGACAACTGCCGTTCGTCTTTTTTCGTCTTCGTATTCCTCCTCAGGCAGAGTGTCCACTGAGATTGGCCAAGTGTTTCGATCCTGAGCTAGCCAGCTTGGTCCATGCCACCAAAAGTTGTTGTTGAGTATATCTTTCGGTCCGATTCCCCTCGAAACCAAATCTGCCGGATTGTCAGCACCCGCAATGTGCCTCCATTCGCAACCTTCCGTAATCGCCTGGATTTTCGCTACTCTGTTTGCGACGAATACAGACCAATTAGACGGAGAAGCCTGTATCCAGCGAAGAGCACACGTTGAATCTACCCAAAACGTCGTGCGGACAGTAAGTTTGGTAGCCTGTAGAACCTTCTCGAGAACTTGTGCAGCTAACAGTGCACCACAAAGCTCCAATCGTGGAATGGATTGAGATTTCAGAGGAGCTACTTTGGATTTGGAAGTGAGAAGTTGAACCTTGACATTTCCATCCTGATCCTGGCTTCGTATATAGAGGCATCCACCGTATGCCTTCATCGACGCATCCGAGAAGCAGTGAATCTCGATCTGCATGGCTTGAGGAATGATCACACAACGATCTATGCGGATATCGTTGAGGATCGGTAGTTGGATGTGAAATTTTCTCCAAGACTCACCCACCGTCGAAGGTATCGGCTTATCCCAATGTAACCTCTTGCCGTCTTCATCCTCCAAAGTCCACAAAATCTGCATGAAGACCTTAGCAGCTGTAATAGTGGCACCGATGAATCCCAATGGATCAAACAACGTGGCGATGATCGAGAGAACCCGACGTTTTGTGAGTACTTCGTCAGGATTGATAGGCGGAATATCAAACTGAAACCGGAAAACATCGGAATTAGGGAGCCAGGTTAGTCCTAACGCCTTGACGGAAGGGTCTGGATCGAGATTGATTCCTTCGGATGCACGGATCGCAAGATTCTCTTCGGGAACTCCGTGCAAGACTCCTGCACAGTTCGATGCCCATTTTCTGAGCTGAAAACCACCGCTGCTCATCATTCCGTCTAGCTGAATCTGCAGCTTTTTGGCCTCCTCCAGAGTATCGCAGCCCGTGATCACGTCATCCATATACGTATCTTCGGTAACCGCAGCAACTGCCAGTGGATATCGATCGCCTTCGTCCATTACCAACTGGTTGAGTGTGCGAGTTGCTAGGAACGGAGCTGGTTTCGTTCCGTAAGTGACAGTGTTCAGCTCATAAATGCCTACCTCCTCTGATGGTGATGGACGCCAGAAGATGGATTGGAGTGGTCGATCTATGGAAATAACGAAGATCTGGCGGAACATTTTTTCCACGTCAGCGACTAATATGATTTGCTTCGTGCAGCAACGAAGGATTATGGATCGAAGATCTTGCTGTAGTACTGGCCCTACCAGCAATGCATCGTTCAACGACAATCCCGTAGACGTTTTACAAGATGCGTCGAACACCACGCGGACCTTGGTGGTGGTGCTGGCCTCCTTCACCACCGGATGATGTGGAAGAAAACAGCGTTTAATGGATCCTTGTGCTCCTTCGACCTTCCGCATGTGACCTAATTGCACGTTCTTCTCCATAAACGTACTGTTCCCGTAGGTTAGCGTCCTTGGATAGTCTACGCTCGGTACCTTGAAAACGTTGAAATGCGATCTCCATAGATTCGCCCAACCGAGAAATGACGTTTTCGTCTTTGGGTAGGGAAACAGAATAGCGGCCGTCCGCTACACGCTGCACAGTACTCGCAAACATTGCTTCACAGCGGGATTCTTCTGGAGAAAAGTTGTTGATCAACTCAACCTCCTCTATGGACCAAAACCGGGATAGTAGTTCCTCCAAACGATCCGTTGTTGCCATGCTGTAGTTGATTTGCATACTATGGTTGCCTTCGGTATATCCTCCACTGACTACCCAGCCGAAGACTGAATCGTGTAACGCTGGAAGTCGCTCTCCAAGTGAAATTTTCCTACCCATTTCGAAAAAGTCGAAGAATGCTTCTATCCCCAGGACGATATCCACCCCTGAGGATATACAGAACGATGGGTCAGCAAGTTCGATTCCTTCTGGAAGTGTCCAACCGGATGTGTTGATGGTGGTAGTCGGCAGGTTCACCGTAACCTTCGGCAGAACTAGGAAGTTCATTTGGCGTGAATACTCTGATAGCCGTGATCGAACCATTGCTGAGACTTGTTGCTTGACCTTGGTAGCTGCCTGACCAATGCCAAGAACCGAAATATCCACTATTCGGCGAGTTATCTTCAGACGCTGGCTGAGACGCTCTGAGATAAAATTGCTCTCCGATCCAGAGTCTAGAAGAGCTCGAGCTGGAATCCGATTGCCGTCATCATCCTGAACTATGACAGCCGCTGTTGCCAGCAAAACCTTGGATGAGCATTGGTGGGCTGTAACCGAGAAATGACGTTTTCGTCTTTGGGTAGGGAAACAGAATAGCGGCCGTCCGCTCCACGCTGCACAGTACTCGCAAACATTGCTTCACAGCGGGATTCTTCTGGAGAAAAGTTGTTGATCAACTCAACCTCCTCTATGGACCAAAACCGGGATAGTAGTTCCTCCAAACGATCCGTTGTTGCCATGTTGCAGTTGATTTGCATACTATGGTTGCCTTCGGTATATCCTCCACTGACTACCCAGCCGAAGGCTGAATCGTGTAGCTGTCAGTAGCTGCCAGATTAACTACTTGAGGAGTGGAAGAGTAGGCTAAATGTTTCGAGGATTGATTGGATTCCGAAGCTCCCTTGGATACGTTGCTGCCTTTGGTTGATGTCTTGGAGTTGGAGTCCCTATCAGGTTTAAAACAGACCAACGTGTGGTGTCGACCCTTACAATTCCGACACGAGTACTTCGACTGACATTCCTTTGCCTGATGTCCCTGTCTGAAGCAGTTCCTACACAACGAATGAGACCGCAGTAACGAATCCTTATCCGTTACTGACATTCGTTGGAATGTGCCACATTGGAACAGTGGATGATTTCCCGAGCAGGCTAAACAGCGCCATCCGGACGCTTGTACAGTGTTGAGGCTAGTCCTGACTGCAGCGCTCCTTTGCCTTGGTGGTTGTGGCTGATTTGATGATTTCATAGGATCTGCAGTCTTGGATGGTAAGGATTCCAATATGCGAACTCGCCGTTGGAGAAATTCGAGAAGTTCCTTGATGGTGCCCTGTTCCTGGGTCGAAGAAAACCCTTCCCAACCCCGGCGAGTGGACGGATCTAGACGAGACGTCAACAGATTAACCAAGAGGAGATCCTTGTAGTCAACCGGTTGTACAATCTGGTCCAACGTTTGCACAATCTTTTCGAACCCTTCAACTAGACTATGCAACTCGTTAACGGATTCCTTGGATAGGATGGGTAACTTGAGGAGAGATTGGATTTGGCGTTTCTTCAGTTGCTTGCTGTTGTTGCACCGCTTCAACAGCTTAGCCCATGCAACTTGGTAATTGGCAGCGGTGACCTGCAACGAATCGATCAACGTCTTCGGTTCCCCTTGCAGACATCCCTTCAAGTAGTGGAGCTTTTCTACCTCTGGAAGATCCGTCTTCCAGTGGATCAAGGAAGTGAATAAGTCCCCGAAACTCAACCACTCGTCTATCTCGCCGTTGAAAGATTGCAGCTTAATCTGCGGAAGACGAACGTGATCAAGCGTTGCTGTTACTGATGGTTCAGCCCAAGGATGGATTGGTTCAACGATGTAGGTTCCTGCCTCTACCTAGCCTGATCTATTAATATGGATTTTGCTTGATAGTAACGGTCGCTAAACTCCTGTCTTTGTATCTCGAATTCGTCGTTTTCATCGTCGAAGTCATCTTGCGATTTAAGCTCGACGAGAGTAACACCATACCTCTCCCACAGTTCGTCGATTTTCTCCAATCGTAGATTGATCTGAGTAGTAGTCGTTGTTTCCTGGATTTTCTCCGTGAAACGCCAGATATAGTTGAAGGCCAACTCAATCTCCTTCAACTTGGTAATGAGGAGTTTCAGAACCGACTTCCTGGTACACGGCTTCTTGGTAGGCATGATGTTAGCTCGGTATAGTTGATACGGAACGAGAAGAAAAGTGTCGTTGTAGTATACTGTGGTCCCTTGCTTCGGTGGACACACACTATTCTATGTTAACTGACCTTTACAACAAACGATTCCTCCTAAATTGATCCAAAGTCAGCAATCCAATTGACCAAAGCTTCAGTCACGACACAGGTACTTTGTTGGTAATGCTCATTAGCGAATAAGGAACGTATGAAGAGGAGAGGAAACCAGCATGTAGTATTCAAAATTATCCAAACTCGACTGGACATATACTGAGGCAGCTCACCTAGAGAAACTAACAGCTCCACAAGTGTCCAAATCGATCGAATACTTCTACACATCAATCAATGATCAACGTTTGAATGAACTCGCTAGATATCGAAACTCCTATCGTATGATGTCACCAGATGTCGAAACTCCGATAGAATACCAACGAGAATTGGGAGAAGAGGATGAGGAACTAATGTAGTACCACTAGAATCCGACTTCGGCCGGGCATATACTGCGGTCAACTCACCCAGAGAAACCAGCAGCGGTGCAAAATCCAGCAATGAAATTCAAATTCAAAATAAGTGCAATCGCAGTTCGCCTCAGCGAGGAAATCAGGGATGTGTCCCCAAATAATCGTGTATTTTCTGCTGCCAGGCTTCGGCAGACATATACAGAGTTCTATATAGACTCACCCGGACAATAATATGATGGTGCTCCCTCTTCGTTGTCGAAATCCCGTCAAATGCCTTGATCGGATGAACAAGATGGCCACAACCACGGCCGATGGGCGTCGTCACTGATGGCTGGCGGCGCAATGTTGCGTATGTGTTTTAACCGTCACTCACAGCCAAGGATCCTAGCACGTAATAGTACGGACGATCGTGGCAATCGTCTAGGAGTGAAGTACAGGTAATCGTAGTCCGTGGTTGTCCTCAGATGGTGGTCGTCGGATGACCATGGAACCCAAATTGGTCGAAGCGTGGAAAATCCAAGAGAGGTCGAAGAGCAGTGTTAGTTTCAAGAAGTCCAAACTTCGGTAGGACATACACTAAATATTTAATTTACCTGGAGAAACAGGAATCCGTTGCTATGAGTGTCCAGTCCTGGGCGATGTCAAATACGATCCACGAAAGCTGAGTCAAATTCCAAAGACCAGCCAGTTTCGATATCCAAACGGCGCTTAGTCCCAGCGCGCGCTAAGCCTCCAACAATGGATCACCTTTCAGGCAATTGATGAGAGACGAAATGGCTGCTGCCTTATTATGCCTCGCTAATTGTCCCGCGGAACGATGGCGAAACTCCTTTCTTTCGCGGTACACAATGGTGTGATGGATGTGTGGTCTGGCCTATTCCATCCGTCGATCGAGCGTTTAGGGTCTTGACACGGTCCGGCTCGAAGGACCAATTATGTTGGATTACCTGAGACTAGGTGGCTAAACTTCGGTGGTGGACACTCTGACCGTCGGCTTTGGATTTGAGTGGTAGGTTGGTGGGATATGGGCCTTCTTCTTGGCACACAAAAAAAACACATAAGCTCCTTGGGACTCACACAATCGCACTACAACACTACATTTATTGACATTAACAAACTATATTTATTGTTGGCCTCGCAGGACCATCTTCGACCTTGTGCCACTTATTACTAAAATACAAATTCGTATCTAAACCTAATTATCCCAATCCCACTATACGATCGTGGACGTGGTGAATTTCACCAACGAACGGTTCGTAGACCAAATCTCTCGCTCTCAAACAAAATTTATCTCCCGTGAGACTCATCCATATAGAAAGCGAAAGTGATCTGTTGTTGATTGTCGATGACTGGAACAAAGCCATGGTCGAACAATCTAACTTCCTACTTCTACATCATACGGCTGAACAGCTGGCTAATTTGATGAACGCAGTGCTAGGGTAGTCCTCACAGACAGAGACGATGGCGGAAACGTACATCAGACTGAAGGCTAAAGCTAGGCGGATTGAAAGAAATAAATGAGAGGAAGAGGTCTAGGGAAGACAATGTTAGCTCCCACCCCGAGTTCAGATTGACGGTAAAGAACTCGAGGTGGTCGACGATTTCTTGTTTTTGGGATCACTGGTGACCGCCGAAAATGATACCAGCAGAGAAATTCAAAGACGCATTATGGCAGGCAATCGTGCCTACGTTGATCGAATAAAATTCGCCGCTGTACGAAGTTGACTATCTACAAGACGATGATTAGATAGGTGGTCCTCTAGGTGCTGCGTACCATCTACGGTGGAGTGCAGATAAATGACGAAACGTGGAGCCGGCGAATGAACCACGAATTGCGGCAGCAGCTGGGAGAACCATCCATCGTCCACATTGCGAAAATTGAGTGACTACGGTGGGCTGCACACGTCGTAAGAATGCTGGATGACGACCCAGTGAAAAGGCGACCTAGTAGAAGACAACATGCGGACCCTTCCCAGACTACGAGGCTGGCGACGTGTGGCCATGGATCGAGTAGAGTGGAGAGGACTTTCGGGCAGCAGACGACAACAAGGCCTTAGCCTGATTGGTAAGGTAAAGTTGTTGCAAATATTGGACGGTAATTGTAGGTATATGTTGCTAACGGAGTCTTCTTCTATTTTGATAACTTCAGAAGGTGGCATCGGCATTTTGGGTCTGCTAATAGTTGTAAATATTTTGTAAGAAATAAAAGACCCATACATATTTCTAACTGATAATGATTTGCAATTTTATGAGCAGGTATAAGATCTATTAAAACACGTGGAGTTTACATCTGCCCGATAGAATTTCCCCTAGTAGCACGCTTGTCTCTAATCGGTTGTGAAAACTTCTATACGACTTATTTCAGTCATAAACAAGTCGCTGCAACTTATTGAAGTGGAAGTGTGCTACTCGGGTCATAATATTGACAGCTTCTATATAAATATACGAGTTAAACACGAACCTTCCCCGGACTTATCCTCTGGAGGGCCGCCTGACGCAGCTAAAGGAGTATGCGCCCGCATCGAGATAGCGCAGTCAGCACCAACGCAGCAGGATGACATCGGACACCTTGCCAGACCCAGGAATTCCAGCCAGTCGGACAACGTGACGATCGGACCATCGTTGCTAGGTGCCAAGTTAGCACTTTTGGGGCAAAAGGCAGGGCAGTTAGGTCTTTGATTAAAACTGAATAAATCACTTCGTATCCAGTAGTCAGACCGTGTAGTTCGTGTGTTCTTTTTTTAAAAAGAACCTCCCGATAGATGAAAACTTAAGTTACGTTCCATAATTTTCATTCACATACAAATAACATGAAAAGCGTTTTAAACAAAACGGAATATCACTTAAAAGTTACCTGTTTTCCAGTAGTATTTACCCCAATTTCACGTAAACAGTACGCGGAAATCAGGTCTAATTTATCTGATTAGTCACGTAGATAATCGAAGCTGAATTTTGCTCAGTTACATGCGAAGCTTTTGGCTCCGTAAAGATTTATCAAGACAGTTGAGCATTAATACCAAACAAATGAAAACCTTATTCATTGCTATAAATGATCGCCAAATGGTTTCTGCAACAGGAAAATTATCCGTTCCAATTTAAGTGCCGAACCAAGCGGTTCAATTTGTAGGCAGGTTGGTTTTCTGATATTCAATGCATTCCTAAGTCACACTATCCAGCTGGCCAAAGAGTAGTGGCGAATGAACCAATTTTCCCAAGCGATGCTCACCCTGCGACGGGGGACGTGAAATTAGGCCTGCCGAAAGTTGTGCAAAATATGGACCGCACAATGCCCGAAGGTAAGCGGTGGAAGGACATTTGTAAAACCGCTCACGAGTTTCCATGCGGCTTTCATTCCGGGAAGAGTGGGCAATGTACAGTCAGGAATCCTTATTGCCGGATTCCTTATTGCCGGTATCTCTTATTGCCGGATCCTTATTGCCGGGCTATCCGCGAATAAGGATACCCACAGCTTATGGGATTTTCACTAATGGGGGCTGTAGTGGATTATCTCATTTGTTTCAATACATAAAGCTATACTGTCTTCGACAAAGTTGCTGTACTGGGTTAGACCAACAAGCCTGTGCCATTGGATTCGGGTTAATTGAGAACTACGCCGCTAGAGGCGCTTCACTTTTATGTTACTTATGACGGGCGCTATAATATATGGATCATATTTCCAACATAGAATATTTCGTGATCCTGACCATATAGAAAGTTACTGTCTTCAGCAAAGTTGGGCAGGTGATCAGGTCCTTTTGGATGTTGGCCATATTAGTTCAGAACTCTCTCACTACGCACCGCTAGTGTGCATGTGCAATTCTTATATAAACTGTATCTCGAGAGCCTGGCCATATAGAAAGTTGCTGTTTTGAGCAAAGTTGTGCAGGTGAGCAAGTCCTTTCGGATGATGTTCATATTAGTTCAGAACACGCTCACTACGCGGCGCTAGTGTGCAAGTGAATTTCCTGTATAAGCTGTATCTCGAGAACCTGGCCATATAGAAGGTTACTGTCTTCAGCAAAGTTGTTCAGATGATTAAGTCCTTTCGGATGATCGTCATATTATTTCAGAACTCTCACACTACGCGGCGCTAGTGTACACATGAACTTCTTAATATGTTATGTCTCCAAAGCTTGTCCATATAAGATGTTGCTGTGCAATGTGAGAACAGGAACCAGAAAAGGGATGACGTGTAGAGGCCGGAAATCGATGTCAGATGCCATTTTGGAATCCAAGATGGCGGTCATCGGTTCAAGAAAAACTGTCAAATACCCTACAATATGGATATTTTTGGAAAGGGGACGACGTGTAGAGGCCGGAAATCGATGCCAGACGTCATTTTGGAATCCAAGGTGGCGGCCATAGGGTCAAGAAAACTGTCAAATACCCTATAATACGGGTATTTCCAGAGAGGGAACGACGTGTAGAGGCTAGAAATCGATGCCAGACGCCATTTTGGAATCCAAGATGGCGACCATCGGGTCAAGAAAAACTGTCAAATACCCTACAATATGGGTATTTCCGGATA